GGGGGGGGGGGGGGGGGGGGGGGGGGGGGGGGGGGGGGGGGGGGGGGGGGGGGCGTAGATTGCTTGGTGTTGGTTTCTTCTGGCCATGCTTGGGTACACAAGGCTCTGGGATGCCAAAGCACGAAGTGATTCTCAGGAAGGGTAAAGAGAGGGAGAAAAATCAAATTCGGCGACTACTTATTTCTCGGTCAACATGTGCGTTTCGGCAGTTTGCGTGTTATTTTCGGAGACATCTGATAACCCGCATGAGCAGCATCCTTGGCCGTCCCGTCCCCACCGCACACACACACGCACAACTCCCGCCGGCCTACAAAAAAAAAAAAGGTGCTGCGAGAAGCAATGTCTATCGCCGAGCGAGATAGGCTCCGCGCTCCCAATCCCCCGCCTTGTGGTGACGGCGGCCAGGGAGGAGAGGGATACCGGCAGCAGCAGCTGCTGCACCCGTATCCGGCGGACCCTACCTTCGACGAGCTCGGGTACAAGGTGCTCCTGTATCTCAAGCGCTGCTTCCGCGGGCGCGTGCTGGGCGCGGCGGAACCCCTCTCGGCGGTGGATACGGCTAAGGTAGGTGGTGGTGTTTGTGATGGTGTGCACATGCATCGGCTGAGTTATGTGGTGGTGTTTGTGATGGTGTTGGTGTGCGCACACAGGCATCTCTCGACGCGGGGTGTTTTCTTCGCCCAGAAAATCAAGCGCACGCGTGTGTTTGGAGGTGTCAATTTAGCCGGCGACTTATGGTCTCGCGCAAGGGGGAAGCACGTGATACGTGTTCTCGTCCGCAGGTCTAACTCCACAGTGAGTATGGAGGCATGGCCAGTGTGTTGGCGGCGGAGGGGCTACGCAGAACGGAAGAAGGGGAGGAAGGGATTGATCGGTCTGTTCGTTTCCCTTTCCGGGGAGAGGTGGAGTGCTCCCTGGTCTGTTTTTTTTTTTGTACACGCGCAACCTCGTTCCGACGGCACTCGCTGCCAGCAGCGGGCTGGCTTTTTGGTGGCCTTCGACTTGAGTTACTAAGTTCGGAGGTGAAATCTCGCTGCAACACAACCGCCTAGCTCTCCTTCTGCTCTCTTGTATCACCCGTCTTGTGCGTCAATTGCAAAAGCGGCGCGTGCTTGGATTGAAGGATGTCGTCGTCGTATGCATACCTTTTCAACTTTTAGTGTTTTGCTTGCGCTTTTTGGTACACAGGCAGTACAATGATTTTGTATTTTCGCGGAAGGTCTGTGATTGTAAAGGCACCCTCTGTTCGATTTTGTCCTCGGATACTGGGAGGTACTCCTGAATACCTCAAAATCCCCAAGCCTTGTTGCCGAAACCCATTTTTTTTTTTTCGGTCTGTCCGTTCTCTCGCTTTTTTTTTCTCTTCTTTCAGGCGCGGGCAAGTCTTCTCCATCTCCTCGTGCGACCAGCCCTCATGCAGTCGTCGTCGTCATCCCTTGGTGCCTCCGGAGTTGCTGCTGCTGATGCTGGTAAGTCGTTATTTTCGTCGCCTCTGCGTCCCGGAGTGGATGAAAATCTGGGTGTGGTTAAACCACCATGGGGGCATTGTAGGCGCCGACGGCAGTTCGCTAAGGAGGTCAGGGCAAAGCGGAGCTGATTCCCTTTTGCACGTGGGCATGGACATTTATGTGGCGGTGTATGATGAATGCGATGATGAATTTCCGTTCTTGAAATTCGGACCCTTGTTCGATGTTGTGTGGTGTTACATTTTTCCGGTCTTCCGGTGCGGCGACGAGGGCTCCTATGTTCAAGGCGATCACCCGTCGAATGCATGCTGTGGACTTGTTTGGCTCCACGAAACGTCATCAATTTGTTCTTGTCATGTTTTTTTTTTTTCTTTCTCTGTTAAGTGTTCCTTCATGCTGTGGATTGCATTGGGTACTCGAAGTGTTGTCACTTGTTCGTTTTGTGTTCATGTCTTTCGTGCGTGCTCATTTGCACCGCCCATTCTCTAACCGCGATCTTGAAAATGGACTCGGTGTTGCTGTGGGTGCGATCCTTCCCACCGAACGCCGCAGCAACAGGTGGGCGGCGAATGGGAGGCAGCAGTAAGCCTTGGGGAGGCGACCGGCGGTGGCAAGAGGCGCCCTTCCCGCACCTCGCGGTGCTCCTCTACGTGGACGCCGGCGCGACGATCGACGTCCTCTCGGTCGCAATGGACTCCCCGGACGCCACCTTCCGCCGAGAAGTACCCGCCGCCGCCGCCGCCGCCGCTGCGACAGCAACAGCCGCGGGGGCGGCTTCCCTGTCGGGGGATGGGAGCGGTCTTGCCGTCGCGGTGCCGCCGACACTTCACCGGGAATTCTCGTCGTCGTCGTCGTCGTTCGCGGCTGCTCCCGATGGGGCGCGAGGGGAGGGGGGCGCAGGNGGGGGGGGGGGGGGGGGGGTGTCTGGGGGAGAAGGCTCGGGAGGAGGGGCCGCGCCGCGAGGGCGGTGGGGTGGGCGACCGGAGCGCCGGTCTCGGCGGGGGGGCCGGAGACTAGGACCAAGGTGGTGGAGGGGGAGGAGGTGGACGGCGTTTGGGGAGGGACGGCGGCGGCGGTGGAGGCGGAGAACCTGTGCCCGTCGCGGAGAAGCGTCGTCGAGGCGGTAACGTCGGTGCTAGCGCCGCACCTCTCGGACCAGGCGGAGCAACTCGAAGCGGCAAGCAGTAGCAGTGGCGCGCCCTCCTCGGGAGGTCCAAGTGCGGACAACGGCGGTGGTCTGTCTGCGGCGGCGTTCGTGCACGGCGCCCAGCCGCCGTTGAAAGCGACGGCGGCGAAGAAAGACGAGGAGGGCTACGGCGACGATGGCTTGACGGCGGAGGCGGCCGCGCAGCAGTCCTCTCTCCTGCGTGACCGGGACGGGCAGGAGTGGTGGGCGGCCGCCCGTCCACACCTGTTCGGCTTCGTGGCCAAGTACCTGGAGCTGTCCCTTGTCTCGGTCGGGCCGAGGCTGACGAACGCGGTGCTGGTCAGCGTGGCGACGGGCAGCGGCGGCGGCGGCGGCGGCGGGCATGAAGGGCCGGATCCGGCGGTCGATGCGCAGGCCAGGTGGGGTGGCAGGTGTACCACGTTTTTTTTTTTTGAAGGGTTGAGTTGGTGGTGATACGCACGAACGTTCGCGTATTTTTTTGTGCGTTTCCCGAGGCGTACTCTCGTGCCGAGGCACATGCGGTTCTAGACGTTCTTGGAGTCTTGGGCCAGGGGGCATACGAACGACAGTTGTTATCGGATGAGATGGGCCTCGTACAAGTGATGGGGAGAAGACCGCCGTAGGACGATACAGCAATATTCCTGGACACGTCGGTCTCAAGAGCTCGAGGTTTTGGCTGCAACAATTAAAAGGCGATTGATGCGTTACGACGTAAATTGTTCGCCCAGAATTTTAGGCGAGAGGGCATACTCACGAGAGAGTGTGCTGGGACATTAGACAAGCCTTCTTTCTCAGAGTGACAAGACCGTCGTAGAAATGCATTCCCGGACACGGCCACAAGAGGCTGATTTACCGCTGGGTAGCTTGTCGTGAAAGTCGCCCCCCCCCTTTTCCTTCCACTTTCCGCCGCCGGCTTGCGTTCTTACGCGCAAAGGTTGGTAACCTTGCTGGAGAGGGTCCCGTTGTCGCTGGTGGACAGGGATAGGCTGCTGCCGCTTGCCGAGAAGAGCGGGTTCTTCCGAGCCGCCGTGATCCTGCTCAAAGCTGTGAGAGGGGTTAAGATCGTGGTGTTGGTTTTGATATCGAAGCTGGGAGAGGGCAACGTGTTGGTTGTGGTTGGCTTCAATAGTCGCAAGTTCTCGCGCGCGCGTGCTTGCTGGAATCGGTACATTCGTTGCGTTCAAAAATGTGATTATCCTCTTTGGTGGACGTGTGGGGTGAGGGCATGTTCGTTATTCTCATCCACGTTGACCCCGCTGGAGAGAGGCGGGAAAACATATTTTTGTGTGCATGAAGCGATCCCACACCTTGAGAATTCTACCAACATGTTCAACGAGAAACCTCCTCTTTTCCTTCCACCGTTGTCGCTTGGCTCTTCCCGTCTTGCCGCTCTCCCACCGTACACCACCCTGTGAAGGCGGTGACGCTGGGGGAGCAAAGAGGCTTCACCCTGGAGCAGTTCGCGAGGATAGTTCGGTGTTACTTGCAAGACTCCGAAGACGCCTTCAGGTGCGTCGCCGACCACGATTTTTCACGCCTCTTTTTGTGCACATAGTGGAACTCCGCATGTCCTTTGTAAGACGTACCAACCACCCCCTCCCCCCCGCGCCCCTGCTGTCCAGACCCTCTCAAGGGTTCAAACCTGTTTTGCGGATTATTTGTTCGTCCTCTTATTTATCGCCCGTCGCTCGTATGGCCGAAGCCTCCCCCCAACCCAAGGGCTATATATGATGCTGAGTGAAGAGCTATATACATGTGACGCGGGGTCCCTCACGAGATTCTCGCAGCTGCTCTGCGGTGCGCATGCATGCCTCCTCCTGCATGCATGCCTCCCTCTACATCCTTTTCATCAACACGCGAGATGGTGATATTTGCTGTGGTGTGCACTGTACGTAGCGATTTTTTTTTTTTTTGTGGTGTTCTCGCGCGACAAACAAGTGACGGGCGTCTCATCCCCTTTCTTGTTACCTTGTTTCCTGCGGTGCTATTTTCGTTGCGCTTTGTCGCCTCCTCTCCACACTTGCAGTGCGCTCTCTGACGGCCTCCTCTTGGTTGCCCGATTTCTCTTTTTGGTTATTCGGAGCGTGTACCACGTTTGCTTGGCTACTTGTTGGTCTGTACCACGGAAGGTTTCCTTCCTTCCGCGCCAGTTGGACTACGGTACGGTACGGATGGTGATGTAAAAAGCTACACTTGAGTGGGCAGAGACCGGAAGTAAATGTGAAGACGATAACAAGAACGGCATGCATGCTGATGCCAAAAGGTACACTTGACCGAAGAACGTTTTGTTTAATGTTGAGACATCATCAGCAAGCAACAACGATGAACGTACACGCCAAATTGGCCCCTGTGTACCCACATACAACGGCAGGTCGCAGGTGTTCGGGTTCATCCGCCAGGAGATCGCGCACGCGGCTACGGCGGCGGCACCGTCCTCCGGCAACGCCAGCAGCAAGCCGCGACAGGCTAAGCACGGCGACAGGTCCCCTCCCGGAACACATGGGGGCGGCGAGGAGGGGAATAAGGAGCTGCTGTCGGAGAAGAGAGACGTGGTGCTGGAGAAGCTGCCGCAGCTCATGGAGCTGGACAAGGTTAGGGAGGGAACAACACGCGCACGCCATACATGCACGTTTACCTCCTGCACAAGAACTGAAGCTGACAAAGAACGGAATTGGTAGCTGTTCGTGTACGGTTTGGTCTGGCCACCGCGGCGCGAAAGACAAGAAAGAGTGCAGTCGAACATTACTCTTTTGATCGAACACGGCGCAACGCCTCTGACACGCATTGATTGTTCTTTTTCCGCCTTGGTTGGGCCTAGCGACCCATGACAGAGTAATGTTTGGTTGGCGTCTGCATCATCGTTCTATCGACAAACCACCCCGCCGCGTCCGATTGGATCGAGCAAAGTTTTTTATGTGAACCGCAGACGGTGGTATGTACTGTGCTGTACACACAATGGGAGCCGCTTTGAGTTAAGGCTCAAGGGAGTGACGTGGCTTGCTCGACCAGGTCATGATCAGACTCGCACGTTTTTGTTTTGACCCAATTCCCGCCGAACGTTACCGCTCTCGCTTACCCCACACAAACCCAAGGCGGAAACAAGATGTAAAATCAGACTCGCCCTTACACTTGTGTTTGACGCCTACCGTAGATGACACAAGATAGCACACCCCTGGACCGATTTTCAAATCTCGATTTCTCGACAGCAGAAAGAGGTGCAGCGCGGAAAACGGTGGAGTTGAAGCTGTCTCGTCTTGAGCTTTCCGAAAATGTATCGTTTCATTTATGCATCCTCTTCGTTGTCGCATAATCGAGCGTTGAAAATTGGTCCAGGGGGTGTGTTATATTGTGTCATATACGGTAATCTTACGACTCTCGCTTACCCCGCATACACCCAAGGCGGAAACATGTAAAATCAGACTCCCACTTAGTCCACTTAGTCTTATCGTGTTTCTTTGTTGCCTAACTTACACCACGATCTCGCTCGCTGTTGCACACGCACTTGACACAAAGGCGGAGGCGGTTTTCACCGTCGGGGAGGCGTTCGGAGGGGACCACAAGGCCGCCCTCGCGGCCCTCTCCGCGACAACCACCCTACAGTTCGACTACCTCGACGCCCTGCTCCGGCCACCCTCCGAGCAGCAGCAAGGGGTCTCGTCGTCGCCATCGCCGCCGGGGTCCGGCGGTCCAGACATCGCCCGCGGTCGGAGCGGTTGGGGCGGGGGGCAACAGGGTGTCCGACACCACCACCGTGACGACCGTGTGGATGTTGGCGGTGTCAGAGGTCCCGGGTCGCGCCCGTCTTCGGGGCTCGCGGCCGGGCTGGACGACGGGGACAGGTCGCTCCACGTGCGGCTGCTCGTCAGGTTCCGACCGTACGAGGTGTACCCCTTCCTGTCCAGCAGCACAGGGTAAGCGAGAAAATTACCCATGTGGTTCTCTCTCTCGTCGATCGTATGTATGCGTGTTTTTTTCGGGCAAATCTACGATGTTGTGCGGTGATTATATTGTAGCTGACCGACCGGTTTGTTCTGCTGTGTGCCTACATTGTGTAGATAAGATGGCCGGGAGGCGCGTGGGGGGTTCCATGGTTTCCACACCCAGACCCCCCCAAGACCCTTTTTGCCCCTACCCACCTCGCCTCCGCCGAAACCATCTACTTCGGAGTGTTCAATACTCCGAAAAAATTCGAAACAAGCATCGCCGCCAACACTGCCATCAACAAACGGCATCGAACAGGTACAGCCTCGACGACACGCTGGCCCTGTGCCAAGAGCGCGGCGTGGCCGACGCGACCGCCTACCTCCTGGAGCGGAAGGGAGACGTCCCGGGGGCGCTCGCCCTCGCCCTGCGCACGCTGTCCGCGCGGCTGGCCTCCCTCCGCACGGCTCTCCAGAAAGCGAGCTTGAGGGAGCTGGCGGCGGAAATGGCGCTCGTCTCGTCGTCGTCTACGACAGCCAAAACCTCGGCCGCGCCGCCGGGAGGGGGGGGGGGGGGNTGGCCCTGTGCCAAGAGCGCGGCGTGGCCGACGCGACCGCCTACCTCCTGGAGCGGAAGGGAGACGTCCCGGGGGCGCTCGCCCTCGCCCTGCGCACGCTGTCCGCGCGGCTGGCCTCCCTCCGCACGGCTCTCCAGAAAGCGAGCTTGAGGGAGCTGGCGGCGGAAATGGCGCTCGTCTCGTCGTCGTCTACGACAGCCAAAACCTCGGCCGCGCCGCCGGGAGGGGGGAGGGGGGGAGGGGGGGCGCCGCAGGCGGCGGGGGGGGGATCTGCGTCGCCCCTATCGTCTTCGGCCTCGCTGTCGTCGACACGGTTTGGTGACGGAGGAGGAGGAGGAGGAGGAGGAGGTGGAACGGTCGGGGGCACCGGCGGGGGGGGGGGGGGTGGGGCCAAGGGGCCGAGGGCCGGGACGGCGGCGTGGGCGAGATGGGCCAGCAAGGTCGCGTTGGAAGGCTTGCAAGAGGTGTGCGTGTTTCCCACTTGGTCTGCACAAGGTTGTGTTCCGATTCGCGACAATGGACCTATTTGCCTCATTCCCTCACCACCGGAGAGAAGCTCACTCGAAGCTTTGGGGCTTTGGGGGGGGCATTCTGTGTGATCCTGGGATCCGAGCTTTTCACCAGTAGACAAGATAAATGTCGTAGGGTTACTACGTAGGCGCTTGCAAGCGCCGTCGGCATGGGAAGATACTCGATGGCATATGCACACCCTTGCACACCTGTGTGAAGATGCACCGGAGAAGAAATTACCTTTTCCTTCGGCGGAAGTTGCTTTCTGTGGCATCCCGGGCAACTTGCAGCTGTTGCTTACCTCAAATGTGATTTGTCACTACCAACGGATTTTTCTGCCTTGCCAGGCACTTGGTGTGTGGTATGTACGAAATGCAGAGAAAATCGTTTACTTCGATGAGGCTCGTGCTCACGACCTACTTTTCTATGCTTTCTGGCCTGCAGGCGCCCGCGTGTAGGTGCTCATGAGACTTACGAAAGATGTGAGCGGTCCACCGTTGCCATCACCGCCGCCACTGGTAACGACACCGACAACATCGCCACCACCTACAATGGGACAGAACCAACATCAGTATCACTATCACCACCAACAGCAGCAGCAGCAGCAGCAACACCACAAGCAACCACCACCACCAAACGCCTCCACTAACGCTGTGTGGTTGTCCTCGTTGCTGCCCACGCTTCGCCCACCGTCGTCTTTGACAGGGTCGAGAAGCCACTCGCAGCCTGATGGTGGCCATCGAGATGTGCCAACGAGCTTCCCCAAGCTCCTCGGGGGGATCGGTTGGATCGATGTCGGCTCGGCGGGCAAGCGGAGCAAGACATCGTTCGACAGCGGGGGGTTCTGCTGGGGGCGAGGTGCGAGGCGTAGAACGAGGGGGGGGCTCAGGGGGGATGGGGGGGCGAGATATGATAATACGTTTGGAGGTGGCGTGTGGTGTGTGGCAAGACGTACCACATCGATCCAGACAGAGGCAGGCAGGCAAGCAGAGCGCTGGTGCTGCTGCCGCTGTTTGTCAAAAACGCGTGACTGCTGCTCACTTTATCCAACAGTGTTCTTCCACGTTTGCTGCCGCCGCTGTTGCCCCTCCCGTGTTGTCCTCCTCCTTGTTTTTTTAGGCCCGAGGAGGAGGAGGAGGGCGATCACCCCTTGCCGATGACTTCGACGACGACGGCGAGCTGGACCTGAGCGCGAGCCTGTGGTTTCAGACTCTCGACAAGATCCTCAGCGCGAAAGGAGCCGCTTGCCGAAGCGGCCCTCCGTCTTCCTCAGCCTCGACGCCCCCCCCACGGGGAGGGGCGGCGGCGGCGGCGGCGGCGGTGGCGGATCCGGCAGCGAGTGTCCCCGGCGCTGCTGCTGCTGCTGTTGCTCCCGGGCGGGGGCGCGAGGCGGCAGGAGAGCTCCCGCAGACGGCGGCTGTGATGGGGGGTGTGCTGGATGCTCTGCTGCAGCGGACCCTGAGTAGCATGGCCGGTGGGTGCTCTTTCGTCTCTCAGAAGCAAATCTAGTCATGAGCTTTGGTTTTGTCTTTTCCTGTGGCTGTAGCATGTGTTATCGTTTACCACCGCTATCCTTACGGTGTGGACGTGTTGCGTGCTCCCGCCCCCCCTTGGATTTTGATTTTCAAGATTTGTGGTCGCCGACTGATGGATGGATGCAGGTCATGTGTGCCACGATTGAGACGTGGTGAAAGTTCCAGCGAAGATGCTCCGGTCGATGTGGCATCGTTTGTCGCAATATCTTGCAGCAAGGCGCATGTCACCAAAACGATTTTTTGTCTTGTAATGTTGGCGATAATAGGGGGTCTGTGCGCCGCGTATAAAGGCAGTTTGACCACCAAAACGCCTAGAAAGTTGATATGAAGGTGATGGTGCTTCTGTATCTTCGGCCTTACTTGTCCAAAAACTGGTCCACTTGGTGATGGATGATGCTGTTGCAGGTTACGTGCCTCTGCCGGCAATCGTTAAGAAGGTTGTGAGCGACCACGCCGGCAGCAGCCTGGGAGAGTTCCGGCACGTGATCCTGGCGATGCTGGACACCTACTCGTACGACACAGCGATTCACAGGTGAGAGAGCAAGGGGAAGGAGGAAAGCGTCGACAAGAGCGAAGCAAACTGCTAGGCCATCAACCCGGCATCTGATCCGCGCAATTGTGCGAGCGTGCAATGGACCACTTGGCAGACGCGTTTTTGAAACGTGTGTTGGGTGTGCGGGGCGGGGCTCACTCCACGACGGGCGCTTGATTTGTGTTTGTAGTTCCCCCCAGCGGGTCTTTCAAACGCGTCGGTCGGAAACTGCAAAAGCCTGGCAGACTGTAAGAGAGCGGAAACCCTTGTTGATCAAGCGCAGATACCTTCTTTTTGTCCCGCCCGCACACCGCACACATTGATTTGAGGGCCACACACGTGGTAAACTTATTGTTGTGCCATGCCAGAGTCCGCCCGTCGACCCTGCCGTTCCAGCTGGCTCATCCATTTCTTGGCCCGCCTATTCGTTTTTTCCCTAATTCTCTGCCCTCAACCCCCGCTGCAACTCTTGTCATCATACGAAACAACACCAACGGCAACAACAAACTGCTACTGCAGGACCGCTGCGTCCCTGCTCTTCGAGAGCTTGCGCACGGTTGTGCGTGAGCGGCACACCCTCAAGGGCGCCGGCGTCCGAGTGTCCGCCGTGGGGGGCTTCGACCTCCACCCCCCGCGCATCGCCGCCGCCACCGCCGCCGCTAGTGCGGCTGGTTCTCCTCCCGAACAACGAGGAGGCGTGTTCAGCGTGGGTGGCGGGGGCGGGGGACGGTCGTTGGCGCCGCACCACCCCCCGGTGCCGTCTGGGCTTCTCGGTGCTCTCGGATCCGGAGTTATACGCGTCTCCTCTGCAGGCGTCGCCGTGGTGGAGCACTTGGGACGGGGCGGCGGCGGCGGCGGGGACGCAGGTAGCCGCAACGACGAAGGGGATGGTGACGGTGACGGTGACGGTGATGATGGCGGTAGTAGCGGCGCCGGGGCGCGGAGAGCGGCGTCGCCGGCGGCGGCGGCGGCGGCGGCGGCGGCGGCGGCGGCGATGCCCCAGCAAGACGCGTCGGCCTCGCTGTGGAGGCTTAGGGCCGCGAGGCGACGCCGGCAGGCCAGGGGGGACAAGATGCGCTCCCTCGCCAGGTGGTCTGCTGGTGAGGACACCGGTCCTATTCGCGGCGACGGGGGTGAAAGAGCCCGGGGGACAATAGGCCACATCCCTGTGATGACCCGAGGCGGTAGCAAGGTGTCGGGCCGAAGTGGTGGCGGTGGCGGCGGCGGCGCCTTGGGGCGCGACGAAAACGGGCGCGTGCACCAGCGGGGGGGACAGGGGGCGGCGGCAGCGGCAGCAGCCGGCGGTGCGGCAGCGAGCCAGTACCGAAGAGAGGCGGCGGCGGCGGGGGAGGAGGAGCAGTCGCGGGGACGCCAGCCGTTGGGGTGGGGGTCCGCGCTGCAGGCGCGAGCAGCCCTTGCCTTGCCCGCGAGCTTCTTGACGAAGAGGACTTGATGGTGGACCTTGCTCGGGCGTGAGTTTTCTTGCGAGCCCTTCGGAAGAAGCGCCGGTTGAGTGGTGCCGTTTGGTTGGCCGCTGCGGTGCCAGCAAATAAGCGTGCGACACAGACAGCAGCAGCTTATCCAGCCGTTTTGTGCTCTCCTTGGACAGGGCCGTTTCGTGCCTCTTGAGTAGCACTGCCGGTGAATTGGCCTGTAGCCCATGCCGGCACCGTCGAGCGCCATCGACTGCTGCTGTACCCTTGATCGAGGTGGTCTCGGCGCTTCGAACTCTCGGGCACTGTGCTGGCGTATTTGCTGTCAATCGTGACGTCGGGCATCTGCTCAAGCGCTGCTATGACTCGTTGCTCGTCGCGACTGCTGTTCTCTCCCTCACTCACTATTTTCTGGTGTGACCCATGTTTTTCTTGTATGGGGTAGAAGAATCGCCGCGTATGTTGGGTGTTTGCTGTACGTCCAGGTTGATGCTGCAAGTTGTGTTTGTTGCCAGGAGGACATGCCAGGAAATTTGGGGTTGGCTGGCGGTAGTTGGGAAGATCCCCCGATTGACGGTGATGGGAAAGAATGGAACGTTCCAAAGTTTCAAAGCGAAGTCTGCCTTCAAGACGGCGTGCAGCGTGGTGTACTCTGCCACACACAGGTGACACGCTAAGTTCGCCACCCCGTTCGGGCGGGCGTCGGGTTTGTTGCGGTTTTCGAGTTTACAGGAAGACAAAACCTGACAAGCAGTTTGTGTGTCAACTCGCCCCAAACTTATAATCGCTTGTCAGGGGGAACCTTTCGCATTTCAATTTAGTGCTTGCCTTTGACTTGAAGACGTGAAACAACTTTGCTTTCGCCCCAAGAGGGTATTGGGCGTGGGGTGGCGGACAACGGGCAGTGCTTTCTTGTGAGACACGTACCGTAAGGATGCGAGAGATTCAAGGGGATGCGAACGATTTTCAAATGTTTCGTTCTTGGCTTTTACCGCACGGGGGTGTGATGTCACCGGTACGTGCGATATCACCGACCCTTGTGCGATAATCAAATTATTAAATCATTTCGACTCTGAACGTTTTGTCGTACGGGGGGGGGATGAACTCATAGCCGTGCATGCCGTAGTCGCTAGTCGTTGACATCGCATGCCTACAAAGCCGGGACGGAGCACGCCGGGTTCTCACCGGACCAGGCTATCACTTCACCAAGCGCGAAGCGTCGTGAGGTATTCGGCGAGTCGCATGAAGGGTGCGCTGCATCCTGCTAAGGGTGTTCGGCATGTTGTGCTTACTTCCTTGCATACGGATGACAGCTGCGTATGGTGACTTGATTTATTTTCTGGTGCTTCCAAAGTACAGAGACAGTTATGAGCTCTGTGTCAACCCCGCACAACATGATCTACTCCACCACCGTCATGCTTACCGCAACACAAACAACCAACGCAAAAAAAAACGCGGTAACCTGGTTGTCGAGCTCACGAAGCGATCGGCGTGTTTTACATCGTCGTTGCCAAGCGACAAATATCCACAATGGGTGCGACAACCCCGATACGTGCGATACTACGATACGCGCAGATAATGGGTAAACAACACATCCTACAGCAGCAGTACTAGTAGTAGTGCTGGGTGCTTTCGATGCACACCCCGTGCGAAAACTCCACGACGTCGACATCCCAACATGTCACGGCCGTACTGCAGACCACACACACAGTTTCAGCATGTGGTGCGCAATGCCGCCGTACGTCCACAATATCTTGCCACGGATGAAGCCGCGAGTAACCTCTGGCGTAGTGAGTGCCCCGGGAACCATTCGGTATCGGTGAGATCGCACGGTGCAATATCACCGATCCCTGTGCGCATCCTTGCGGTTGTTTTTTTGTAGGGGGGGCGGGGGAGAGAATGCCCTTGATGAGACATCTCATATGTATAAGCCCCCCTGGTGGACGACACACTCTCTCACTCTCTCACTCCACTCCTGCAGAGGCGACAGCAGTTTCATGTTCTATGCATACACACACAGCAGTTGAGCAGCAAGAGGCGAGACACGGGCCAACATCCTAATCGATACAGCATTATGATTGGTTTGCCTGAGGATACTGCTTGAGGGGAGGGCGAAAATCGCAACTGCAAACATCTCGAGAAAGCTCGCTCTCCTGCTGCCCAGCGCTCCCTGTCCCCCCAAACAAAAAGCCTCAAGAACCGAGAACTTGATTTTCTGCGTAATCTCGCCGCGTTTGCACTCCCTTTCGTCGCCGTTGCGGGAGAGAGTACATATATAGCACACACCGGCACACGCCTGCTTTGCAGCAGGACTTGGAAGGATGCGAAGGGTTCTTGCGGTTGCTCAGGTTCTGATACTTTCCCAAGGTGTGAGAAAATCGGGCCCTGCCGACAGCCAGACCCTCCCAGGCAGCGTGCGTTGCTGCTGTTACGCACACCTCTCGCGCCATGTTCTGACAGACACTCGTTTACACATGTTTGTGAGCATGTCTTGAAATACGATGGCTACGACAGCACGGGTACTCCGCAGCAGTTGCCAGCATAGCTGATTTTTCTCTGCGCGCCTTGCTCAACAGCTGTTACAGCAGTGATGAACCCTACCCATAACCTTGCATGACACGGCTCGACCAGGCACCCGAAGCTTCAACCTGCCGTTTCCCCCAGCAAGATCTCCTGGCACCAGCACCAGCACTACCACCAGCGGACAAGCAGTTAATCCTGCTCGGTCTCGCAATGGCCAGGAGCGCCAGCACCAGCAACGCTGCAGTAGCGCTCTTCGTCAAGATGACCAACCCGCCAACGACAACGAGCAGCGTACCTCCGACGGCGGAAGCGGCGGCGGCGTGACTCGGAGGGAGTTTTTCAACACCATAGGATCGGCCGGCGCTGCTGCCGCCGCGTGGGCTGCGGTCGCGGGGTCTAGCTCGGCGGCGGCCGGCGGCGTCGACCGGAAGGCTGCCGGGCAGGCGTCAAGGGCTCGGGTGTACGGGGAGGTGAGAGCAAGAGAAAAGCGGTTGTGGACGACGCTAGCAAGTGTGCGTCAGCCGTGAGCATTTTCGAGGAAACGAACCGAGACTCTGGTCGGGTCTCGAAGTACTGGAAGTGCGGGGTGATTGGTGGGGGGTGGGGGACGGGAAATCGATGTTCCGCTAGAGTTCCGGCGTGAGGGCACCATGAGAACGACAACTACATGTAGCATTAAGTGTTCACGAGCGTCGACGTTTGTGGCTGTTCGGACTAATTATGGGTGCGGCAGCTCCCACCCATCCGAGATACTGAAAACTCCGCAGGTGGTGCATGTTGGACAGCTGATGCGGGAAAAGTTACCGAAGCTCCTAGAGTATATATCTACCAGAGCTTCCAGCTCTCACGACGAAGCTGGCGAGTCCTTGTTGGATTGTCGGCGGCGCAGTACGGTATAGTGCGATCAACAAGTCTGCGTACTGTTCGTCCTCGGCGTGCCTGGTGTTGGCTTCTTGTGGGGTGTCGTCTCCGATCTCGGACGGTTGGTTGTGTCCTCCATGTCTGGCGCGTTGCTTTCGATGAGTCTCGGAAGCCAGTTATTTGCTTGCAAGTGTTGACATTATGGACGACTCATGAGAATGCGTTCACGCGAAAATCCGGACTGCCACTCGCATGTCGTAACAACCCCCGACAGGTCGACAAGAGCCCGAACGACCCGAGGAGCTACCGCGCGATATCTCTTGCCAGCGGAATGAAGGTATGCATCATCACGCAGCAGTGCCCGGTGTGCCCGCTTCGCTGTCGGCGCCCCGACACAGCCGCGTTCAACGAGTTCAAGTGTTGACCGCGTTGTGAGTCCTGTCGAGGAGGATCGCATTGGGCATGCCCCCTGAGTCTGACGTGACCAACGGTGTGCCCAACCCGTCGTTCAATTTTTATTGGTTCGGTCTTAATGAGGCATGGCTTACTGTCGTTTGGAAGAACCGCATTCTCGACCTCCTCTCTCGCCACCACGCACCCGGATATCGAACACGTGTTGAAACGTGTTGGGGTTTGCAAGCTTGGTTACGCTCGAGGGTCAACTGAACGATCCGTGGGACATGAACGTAGCCGCCCCCGCCGCCGCCGCCGCCGCTGCTGGTGCTTCTTCTGCTACCGTCGATGACCGACCGACCAACAAAAGGTGCTGCTTATCTCAGACCCGAACACAAAGACGTCGGCGGCCGCCATGGACGTGCACGTGGGACACTTCTCCGATCCAGGTAAAAGTTGGACCCGACAGAAAAAAAAACCGCATTCACTCACGAACACGCTTTTGGCGGAAGCGCAATCAAATGACTGCGCGACACGTATGGTGCAGCCTTAGAGGGATTCCGACCTCACAACAAGACCTTCAGTACGGTGGTTTCTAGACATTCAAAGGGCTGTTTCAGTCGCGGTCTGCCTCATTAGGCGTTCAAGCACCATGCGTCCTGTTTCATCAACGGCAGGCTCTGTAGCAAAATCTCCATTGTGAGGGATCAAGCATCCAAGGCAATTTTTCCTCTTGAGTTTATTGCGCATATTTTGGTTTTTCGTTTTTTCGGATGGCCTCGTGAGGGATCAAGCATCCACGGCAGAAATGCCTCAAAGCAAATTGCTTGCTTTTTCGTTCCTTCGTTCTCACAGATGACCTTCCCGGCCTGGCTCACTTCTGCGAGCACCTCCTATTCCTTGGAACCGACAAGTACCCGGATGAATCTAGGCGAGACGAGTGGAGTGAAAGAAGCGAGAACAGATGGAATTGTAGTGTTGCAAGTACGACAATAAAAAAGTCGATCGAGGCCACGATGCTTGGGGATATTGACGGCACGATCATCGTCGTTTTGAGAGAAAGAGGGATAGATGGGCGCGGTCGAATCAATCAATCCCTCGTCACGCAAAGCACCCCGCGTGCCTTTTTTTCTCCCCTCCACCCCTGGGCGTCTTCACCTTTTTTTTTTTCTGCTGCGGACCGAAGTATGACACGTCAAGCGAGGCAGAACTCTATCTTTACCGTGTTGCATGAGTGAGGTCACTTTGTCTCGGAGTGCATCGTCTGCACGCCATTAGTTTGGGCGGTATGTATCACGTGCAGCAGAACGGATGCAACCGTCGACTTAATTAATCTCGCTGTCGCGCAGCTGCTTGCGGTTTTTACCGGATCGCCATCCGCCCCGTCCCAGCACTATTTTCCTGGTCGCGGGTACGAGCAAAATTTGCCGCGGGACACGATGCAAGCTGTGCGGTTGGGAGCACTAGTTTCACGAGACGTTCACGGTATACCGTAAAGTTCTCTTTAGAAAATATACATACAATCAGAGAAAAACTACCCTTTTTAGATGTGTATAACCACAGTCGGAAGGGGTGGGCTGAAGTCTTCGCAGTGAATGGGAGAAATGTTTTTTGTCATGCGGCCAGGGTAGCGGTCGGTGGTGGGTAGGGCTGCTCAGACGCGCGGCCAACGGCAACGCTTCCGCCACACCGGGGCAGGTCTGCTCGGTTGGAGTTGTTTCAGGTTTCCACTGTGCTGTGCTGGCGTGTTTGACCACCAGCTGTTCGCAAAGAAGCGGTGTGCTCGTGTGATGTGTGCCGATGAACCCCCGCTAGTCTGATGGGTTATAATCCCTTTCGTCTTCACTACACCGCTGCTGACGGCAGGAATATGGTTCCCCCGTTGTGATGTCGCCATCTTCTACCCCAACCTCGGCGCACGAGTCTCTTCCTAAGCGCCCAGCCCCCTCCCCCTACATGCACAATTGTGATGACGAGTATTCCCCCCACCCGGCACACTCTACAGTTACTCCACGTATCTGGGGTCGCATGGAGGAACTAGCAACGCCTACACGGACACGGAAGACACGGTGTACTTCTTCGACGTTAGCTCGGACTACCTCAAGGGAGCTCTCGACCGTTTCGCACAGTTCTTCATCGCGCCGCAGGTACCAACAGATGTAGGCGTTTCTCCGCCGAGTCACAAGCGGGATACGACTGGAATGCAGCAAAAACGCAAATGGATGCTTCCCCAACGAAAGGAAATGTGAAATGAACGCATACATGGAGGCTTGGTTGTTACAAGACGTGGAGACTGTAGAAGGCGTAAGAGGATAGGCCTCTCTACTGCAATCTGAAACCGTTGAATCAATGACTGGCGCACCGACTGCACCATACGCATGAATAAAATAGTTTGTTCAGGTGTGTGAGAGGCGTGCAGCGTTTGGGAAGCGGGGCAGGCGGCGCTTGGGGATTGAAATGGTAGAAGAGGGCGTGCGCATGGGGGGGGG